CCCCAAAACCCCAAAACCCCAAAACCCCAAAACCCCAAAACCCCTCAAAAACCATCCGGGTTGAATCGAGCCAGTAATCCCCAGATTTCTCGAAAAATTAGAACTTTCGTTTGCATTATTTAATATATCAATTGCATTAGTTAGTTCATTTCCTCTACAAGCTCACTAGCCACTGAGAAATTTGCTTAGATTCTTCGTCATCTTGATTAGAGAGGAACTCAATAATTTCTCTTACTTCTTGGATATTAAAGTCAGCACTATCCCTGAAGGTGGATATTAAGTCTCCAATAAGGCCAGCTACTTCCTTGACTCTTGCTAAGGTCGGTTCAAAGTCATTCTTAACTCAGATTATACTGAATTTCAAGATTCCTGGGATGTATGGTTGAAGTGTTTGATGGATCAATTGTCCTGCCTCAGGAACTTCTTGAATAATTCAAGTGTATGATTCGATCAAAGCTCCTTGTAATTTGATGATGTACTCCACCAAATCATAATCGGCCAAATTCACATCAATACATTGCTCAGCTGCGGAATTGAAGTACTTGAGAGTCTCTTCGAGGAATGGCATGAATTTCTCCTTAGTGATCAAGAAAGTATCTCCAATAGCAGTTACTGCACTCAATTTAGCATCTCTCTGAAGTGTCCTGTTTGCCATAACATTGTTGAGAAGTAGAGGAACGTAATTTTCAAACCCTTCAGTAATATTATGTGACTCTACCATGGTGCACAAATCTGAGATTAATCCGCAAGCATTCTTGATAGTCTCAGAGGATTCTCCTTGACTTAAAGCATGCACAATGTAAGGACCGATTTCGGGAACATGGGAGTCAATATGCTTCTCAAATTTAGAGCAAAGAGCACTAAGAAGTAAGAATCCTTCCTCAAAGACATCATTTCTAGACTTAAAACAGTTGATTATCACTTCGACAATTTTGTCAGCAATCACTGTATCCAGGTGGGTATCGATCCTATTCAAGAGTGTTTGAAGACAAAGACAGAGGAAGCTTTGAAATTCCATTGTTCTATTATCGATACTATCTTTTCCATCGTATGTAGCAACAAGCTTGTCGTAAAATATCTGAAGAGATTCCATAAGAAGTGGCATTACATTTCCAGGAGCGTTTTCAAACAGACTATACAAGGCATCAAATCCTGCGATATTAATCTTATTCTGTTGGTTAGGGATATGAACATTCTCAGTTTCATCCCTATAAGCACACTCAGTACATTTCTCGATCAACTCTTGGTAAACATTGCTTAGGATATTCCCAATTTGACCTTCAACTGGCTTTAAGCCCTTAGCAAGTTCATTGATGATAGATACACTATTACATGCAACTCTTGTATCATCTTTTAGTCCATCTAAGATGTGAGAATATAATGAAGGGAACACTGTCTCGTTCCCAATAATCTCAGGCTGATTTTGAGCAATCTTAGAAAACAGCCAAGCAACTGTCTCTCTTACTTTCCGGGACTCAAATTTATACAGTTCAATGATAGTATTCATGGCAGGACTGAGGATTTCCATCAATTTCTCCTTAGTAGGTCCTTCTAAAATAGCTCCTAAAGCCAGTAGTCCAAGATATTTATCCTTCCACTCTTCTGTTTCTGAAATTTTCTTGCCAGCAAAATTTATTACTGGTTCGATAATATCGTCACCGAGGATTTGAGCCATCAAACTGAGGCAGCATCCTGAAGCAGTTGATCTATTCCAGTTGTCGCTTTCATCATCTTCATCTACATATGAGCCTTCGATGCACCAGAGAACGAGCTGGATCAAGTCCACAGATGCCTCCTTGATGTAGTTGCGGCAGCCTTCTCCCTTCTTTCGTCTGTAGATATCTATTTCGCCTTCGCAGACAGTGCACCATACTTCGATTGCAAGTGTGGCTACTTCTTCGTCATCATCCTCTCTGATGATCTTGGATGTGAGGTCGCTGATCGGCCCCATGAACTTGTCGACGCTGCTGTAGTAACACCTGATGATCTCTGAGAGGCACATCATGGTCTTCTTTCTGACTTCTTCATCTGGATTTAAGCCGTGTTTGACGACTCTTTCGATAATGAGGCTTCCTTCGCCTTTATCGAAAATGTTTTCAGCAAAATCGATGGAGTGGTAGGTTGCTTGCATGGTAATCTGCATCAGAGCTGGATTGTTTTCGTTTGCTTCAAGAGACTCGAGCAGTGCAGAAATTACTAAGTTTGTATTATCATTCCCCAGAACTTCTCCATCTATTTCTTCACAAATGTATCCTAAAGTGATGAGGGAGCTCTGTCTGATCTTTAGGTCTTCTGAGCCTGAATGAGTGCAGAGATTGTTGATTATCTCCGGCCACATCTGCTTTGGAAGTTCCAAACACGCTACGGCAGCAACTCAACTACAAGCAGATCTTCTTACTTCTTCATACTCATCAGCTAAGGGAATAAGAATATACTCCTTGAGCTTCGCTCTATCATCATCGCTTAGAGTGAACCAAAGTGGGCCATCATCTCCTCCCTTTGCTGTGTTTTTGAACAAAATTCCAGTTAAATGCCTTGCTGGTGTTGCTAAGGTTTCGTTGTTCAGCTGCTCTATCATGGCAAAAAGGAAATCCCTTGGATTCGCTTCTTTGAGTGCTCTGATTTTTTCCTCATTCACCTCTTTCTCTTCGTTAGATTTGGACATAACAAATCCTGTGAGTACTTGACCAATATCTTCTTGCATCTTTCTATTCTTCTAATTATTTGATTTTTCAAAAAACTATATATAATAAGGGGTTTTGGGGTTTTGGGGTTTTGGGGTTTTGGGGTTTTGGGGTTTTGGGG